TGATGACAGATTTATGACAAAGTATGTTGTCTTTGCTAATGTCAAGTTGTCATAACAAAGACACTTCAAACAATGTCACCATATCATTTAAAATGAGATTACTGAATGAATGACACCTAATGACAGTTGTCATAAATTTACAAACTGTCATGGCATGCTTATAAATAAACAAACCTTTTAAAGTGTTATTAAAATCCTTTTAATTATAGCCTTACCTTAATTAATTAATTAATGTTTTGCCCTCAGAATGATGCAGTTATGGCACCTACTGTTCTAGCAGTGGTTAGCTGCTAGTTATAGCTGACAATCCAATATTTTACCCTCCCTAGTTTGAATATTACACATGACTGTTTAATAATTAAACAATCGAGTTCTGACATCTTGTGAAAATCTACAACATAACCCAAATACTGTTTGGATGCTAAAGAGGCATCTGTTGAATGTGACTTATCTCTAACAACCTGATTTAACCTTCACAGCACAATCATTACAAACGTTCAGTCTGTTGCGAGGTCTCTCAGGTTATTCAGACACCTCCAGACTTGGCACTTGCCTTCATCTCCAGTCACTCTCTGTGATAAGTGTGAACAAGTGGCACTCCTGCCTGTGCCAAGTTTGGATTCTCAACTCATTTTGCCTCCAGTTCTGCTAGTTTGAATGAAGCCGATGATCCATCCAGGGTGGCATTAAACATCCCAGATGGGCCAAACGGGGTGCTGCTTTTCTGATGAAATGTCATCTGGCGCCAACATACAATGATTAAGGACAGAGACGCACCTGAATATAAATGATGAGCCCGGCAAACTGATTGGCACATGCGTTTCCAGGAGTCAAAACTCCAGGGCGCATCACTTTATTACCATGAGATTCCATTCCAAAATGGGAAACAAATGCTACTCCATTTTATTGAACAAAAGACTCCCCCCTCCAACCCCCCATTTATTTTCAAAGCCCTGCCTTAAATGTGAGCTTTTATACTGTAAGACACTTAATTACATTAGTTGCACTTTACTCAAACACCCTCTCAGGAAATGCCTGCATAGGTCTTGCATAATAATGACACTCACATCTCCACTCTCGATGGCGCACGGCAGCCTTTGACATGTAAACAGACCACCACCTTCTTTAATACGAACAGTCGGCTGGGCTTTCATTGCAGAAAACGTTCGTCGGTAATGTTTAAAACTGATTTATACTTTACGGTTACAATGAAGGTGGTGCCATGCACTCAAGAACGCTTCTGGGGTTCGCATTAAAATTCAGTCTGGGGAGTGTTTGTGTTTAATTCTGTCTAAGCAGGAAATACAGGCTTAATAAATTGGAGCATTTCAGAGTAGAGATGGTCAATCAGAAGTACTGCAGAACACTTCTGCCCTTTTAAAGTACAGTAAAAGGGAACCGACACTGAGCACCATATCATCATGGGACAATCACACAAAGCGGTCACGCATTATGGTCCCATGCAAATCGAAACTTCGACTTGAAACCATGTTATGTTCGTTACAAACACAAAATGAACAAAACAATCCATCTAGCTTACCATATTGTCTTAAAACCTACAATGATTACCGCATGACACCGTACTGGTATGTGTGTACAAAAAAATGTATTACGGAACGTAATTAAATTACACAGTTGAAAATGACACTTATTGACGTGGATGAGTTTAACAGCAGTAGCATTAGTTTTGAATGGTCCTTTCAAGTAAGAAGCAGAGAAGAAAATGTAAATAAAGTCCATTACAGAAAGTATATATTTTCTGAATCGTCTAAAATTATGTACATTTTGTCACAAAAACACATTTTCCATGTCAACACACGAACTTGGTGCCTATTTCTTAAAAATATCCTTCTGAAATGAATTAATATCCTAATAATAATAATAATAATAATAATAATAATAATAATAATAATAATAATAATAATAATAATAAAAGAACATATAAAAAACATAAAATTAATGAAGGTGATCTAAAATGACCTTTATCTCCTAAATGGGCCCTAGAATAATTATATGGAGATTAATATCAAGAGACTAAGCTTCTTGACATGGAAAGATTTTCTACAACACTCCCAGAAGTCCATGGTTTGAAAACACGTTTCCAAACACATCGACGCTGCCTTGCTTAAACATAAAATGAATAAGAAACTAAAAATGACAAGAAACTAAAATAACAAAACAGAATGATACAAGCACCGAACACTTTGCTTGATTCCGACAATATGTAAGTGATAATCTTTTTTCGTTTGTTTGTTTTGTTTAGCCTGCGAGAGGACCAGAAGGCGTAGAAAACTGAAGGGTGTAGTTGAAGAGTGGACAGGGCTCCTCTCCTCTGCCGAGCCCCAGTTTATGAGAGCACTAACACAGTCAGCATGGAGAACATGAGAGTGACGAGAGCGTACGTCACAGAGGAGCAGCCAAGGGTTGCTGAGACCACCACACAAATAAACAAAAAAATCCCAGAAAGACCACAGGGACAGTGCACAGAAAAAATAAAGGTTTTGAGTGTGTGTTTGAAAATGCGATGGTCCAGTGATGTCCGATTTTACACATGGAGACAGAAAAAAAGGGAAAAAAGGAGGGAAGGAAAAAACAGGGAAAGAAATTGGGAAAGAGAAAAAAGAGAGAGACAGAGAATAGGTCAAATACAGAAAATTAAGTCTGAAAGGTTAATCAAGATTAGAAAAGAATATCAAAGGAAAGTTCAAGCAAGTTAGTAAAACAAAGTAAGAAGGCCTTAGCATGTTAAAAGCAAAGCGAATGACAGCGAGTCAAGAATGAAAGGGCAACAATGAAGGGACATATGGAATGATAAGGGACACAAAGGCACAGAACAATCAAAACACAGATCAGGCAACTTTCCTGGTGTTTGACTTATTTAAATATTTTTTACAGCTAGTTTTGGTCAATCTTACATATATATTTTTTTATTTAAAGATGAAGTGTGTCCATACTATCAGCATCGGACTTGCAAAAATAATAACAAATTTGAATATTTTCTCCATTTACAATTGATCAGTCAAATAAATGTCTCTGACACAAACTTGCATAATTGGTTAAATCCACTTGTTAAGAATGACGTCACGCGAATCGGCTTCCGGGTCCAAGACCTATATAAAATTATATGGGGAAACTCATCAAATGGTAATAAAAAATGTTTACAAAGAGCTGGTATACTTTCAAAAATCACGATTACATTATATAAATCCATGCCTAATATCTGATGGCTAGAAAATGATTAATTTTTTTATATAAATTGTTAAAAATTTTAGTGTCTGTGATGCAGCAAGTCCAGGTTGTGTACATCATGATTTTATATAAAATTCACTTTAATGTGTGAGATGACTAAAAGGGGGTCATAAACTAACATTTTCTCAGTTCAAATGAGTAGCGGCTTGGACCCGGAAACAGTATTCCATACGTCACCAATAGATCACGACTTAACAAGCGGATAGCTTTCAATCTATGGATAGATTATGTTTACATGTCTCTGCATGTTGTACAGAGCCAGAGAAGGTGTTTTAATAAATAATATTGCAAACAAAACACACACTTCAGCTTTAATTATTGCCTCCAGAAAATTGTTTTTAAATTTTTATAATTAAAAAAAGAAAAATCTATAGGAAATTGGGAAACAAACAAGCTTTCATCTTTCATGTCGCAAACACCAGGGAAATATTGCCCAGTCAGAAGACGAGGCAGAACAAACAGCAGGTTATGATGCAATACAATGTAATAATGCGCTGGATGACAGAATGAGTTTTTTTTTTTATGTTACTTAAACTGCACGAACGTTAACGGGCATTGTATTAGAATAGCTTTCACTCCATGTCAACAGTAGCCGGGGAGATTTGGATTACAGAAAGTATAGCTTCAATGTTTGTCTAGCGGCCAGGGTTCGGCTCAACCCCCTCCCTGCACCATGCATGAAAATCCTCCCTATTTTAACTCCTGCTAAAGACTCAACATGCTCAAGGAATATATGTCATGTGGTACTGACAGCATCCCAGATGTGTTTTTAACCTGCCATGCTCTGGTCCGAATAGAAGACGTTAGAGAAACACGAATCGCTGTCTGAGCAGCTGCTTTTTGGACCATATTTTAAACCGGCAGCTGCTCCGTCTGAGGCAATACAGATGTTGGGCTAAAAATAAAGCTGTCTTTTTAAATTCCCACATGTTACACATTGAGGTTAACAACTCTGCAATGTATAAGTGTGGTGAAAAGAGGACAGCGACAAAAAAAGGCTTTTCTATCCGTCTTTCTTGCACAAGTGCTCCGAGATCCAAAGCTCCCACTGCTATATGGCTGCTTCCCACTAAGCGGATGAGAAAAAGCAGGTCTCTTGGCCATGCACCGGTAGATGCCTGTTAGGTCCTCGGTAAAGCATTAAACCATTAATCCTGTTGAGGCGTCATCATGCAAAACCAGAGGATGCATCCCCACTGAGAATGGTCCAATTCAATTGGCCTGCCACAATGTGCCTGAACTGAGCCTACGGATGATCTAAGGCCCAATTTTTTATCAGTGGGGAAGCAGCTCGCAAGAAAACAAAAACACAGCACTGCCATTGGAGCGCAGACCAAACGAGCCCGTGTTGGAGGGGGTGAATGGTTTGAACAGACCTGCTGTGGCTTTATGCCTCTCGAGTGCCAAACAGAAAATCTCATCTCCTCTGATATGATCTGCAATCGCTCTGAGACCAGCAATAAAGCTAACTGTTAGAGTTTGGGGAGGTTTGCCTGAAGGTTCAGGGCTCTGGAGAGCATCTGAAGGTCTCCAGGATTCACTTCTCGCAAACATTTGTCAATCTTATTACTCTCAGATATTACGTTCTCTAGAGGAGACCAGGACTTAAGTTGACACAAAAGGGTGGCCTGTTTAATCCACAACAAGACCTGATAGTAGGATGGGGTTAGCAGGGTTGGGTAAGGCGGTCAGGCTGTTGGCCGCTCTGGCTGGCAGTGGCTGTGCTTTAGGGTCAAGGGGGAGGACTGTACCTGGGATGGCGGTGGGTTCTGGCAAGGTCCTGAAGGAGAGGGTGCCGGGTTCAGACCGTCCTCGCTGGTTTTCTGCAATGACGTAGACTTCATATTCTGTGTTCCAGTCTAGGCCCCGCAGCACTATGTAATCGCTGGCATCAGGCATACGGATCTCAGGCTTCCAGTCCTGGCGGTTCTTCTAGGGACATAAATGACACAAGGTATATTATTTCTTTGAGTCATATCTGGGGGATAAAGTGAAAATAGCAGGTTAGTTGAATTTTACTGGGTTTGCAATATAGTAGTCAACATTTGAAGTGGATCAAAAAAGTTACTAGGACAATAATGAGTGTTGTTGATTGATTTTAGAAAAACTTTGATGTTTCGATCTTCTTCAAAATTTGACTACAGTACACAAACAAAAACTCTTTTAAAATTATTAAAAGTGTCATTTATATTGACCTTATTCTTTAAGCATCATTGGAACCTTATTGGCTCGAGACATCTGGTCTCATTCACTTGCATTGATTTCTAGCCATAAAAAACAACTTGTTATTTTGTCCCTGTTGCAAATTGGTATTTTCTCATTATATTATTTGAATTTGTGTGTCATAAACATAAACATTAGTTTGTTGCGCGAGTAGTTTGAGTGTTTTCTGCTGTATGTAACGAATAGAAAGTCCATAATAAGGTTTATTATGTAATATATGTTTCCATTGTCAAAAAAAGAGTAGTCTAGATTCCTAACTAGAGATCTCAAGTAATCTGTAATGAGTAACAAACCATAATCCGTAATTCTACAATTTTAGATTTTATCAAACAACAGTATTTTTATCCCATAAAGAGGTTTTGGCAAGTGGATATACAGCAGCTTTGGTGCAGTTATGAGAATATTAATAGTAAGTTAATAAATTAGATAATCTAATAAATTAGATATCATACCCATTGAAATACTGTGTTATCAACAAAACCACTTGTTAAATGTATAGTTCACCTAAAAAATTAAAATTATGTCGCCCTTTACTTGTTCCTTTACTTGTTCCAGACCCATTTAAGATTCTTAATTCTGTTGCAAAAAAAAAAAAAAAGATATTTTGAAGAAAGCTGCAAACCTATAACCACTGACCATGGTATTTGTTTTTTTACTACGAAAGCCAATGGTTTCAGATTTTCAGCTTTCTTCAATTATCATGTTTTTGTTTTCAACAGAAAAAATAAACTCATACAAGTTTGGAACTACTTGAGGGTGAGTCAATGTAAGTAAAATTTAATTTTTTGGGTGAACTATTCATTTAATGCTTGGAAAAAAGTAAGTCTGGTAATCAAAGTCTAGTTGTGCAACCACTTCCCAAAACTTTCACACTCTCTGTTGCTCTCTGGCGGAAAGAGCTGTCAAGCTCCAGCTGAACTGCTGAGACCATCACATCTCTCCAGAAGCTGCTGAAGACAAGCATTTTACCAACCCACTTTCTCAACAACTGTTCGCTGTTCTAGCTTGTTTTCTAATCTAGTTCACTAACAAACCTGCCACTGTGTATTACTACCATTAATCTTTTTCTCTACTATTCTTTTCTATGTTGTTTTGGAAAAAAAAAATACATGAAGCATTCTAAATGCATAAATATAAATGATAATGAAATCAAAATGCAGAAAAGCAAAACAGGAAACATCATAAACTGGACTCCACATTGCAAATCTACATGATATTGTTATTTACTGTGCATCGCATTTACATATATGCATTTTCCAGATGCTTTATACAAATGAGGTAAGGATTGTACTTTGACCAAGAATTTAATCCTTCTTGATATTTAACTTCTCTATGGGGTCAAGACCCAAATCTAACATAAACTTGTTTCAAATTATAAGAAACCATCATTAACATAAAGAACTTCTAAGAAGTTTTTAAAGATTTTAGCCTTTCTGTGTCTTCCTTGGCATATTTAACATGTAACATTTTATCAAAATAAATGTTATTTACATTTTTTGCTTGTAATTTTTTGGTCAAGATACAGCAACAACACAAATTAGTTGTTTAATTTAATTAATCTTAATTACAAATTTAAGATTTTTTAAGACCTTTTTAAGACCAGAAAAAAAGCATTTTAGATGTATGCAGGGTTAGGATTTTTTCTAATGGCCTGGTATTATTGTGTAATTGTTTTTATTTATTGTTTCCTGATTAGGGAATTTAATTTGTAGAATTTTCTCTAAAAATGTCTGTTGTGAATTGTATTTCTTTGGAATATTAAAAAAAAAAAAAAAAAAAAAAAAAAATATATATATATATATATAAACAATAAGGTTTTATTGGTGATTGGATGGTTGGTGGTCCACTTGAGTATACCTTTACTTGGACAGAATAAAATTAAGACCTTTTTAAAATGATTTAAGACCTAAAACACAATATTTCAGTGAATTTAAGACTTTTTAAGGCCTAAAGTTTAGTTTTTCACTGAAACACTAATAAGTCACAGATCCTTGAACAGTGTTACCTATTCATAACCATGTCACTGCTATAATGAGTAAATAATTCAGACGACAGGATGAGTTAAGTATGTTACCTGACGTCCAATCATACTCACAGCTCTGTAGCGCACTAGATAGTGTTTGATGGGAGAGCCCCCATCGTCCTGCTTGATAAAGTGCACCTTCATCTCATTGCCCGTGGACTGTGGCTTAGCCTCCAGTTTAGGAGGATTAGGTTCCCCTGAGGAGAAAAAAAGCCCTGCTGTTAGATGAAGCCCAGCACAGACTCCAGACACATTTTCACAGGAGAACATCCTTCAACAGCTCAGTTGTAATCTTTTTCTATGAACGGAGTTTACAATTCATTTCAACTTGCATCACATTCAATTGACTTAATCAAATATTGTTACATTTTATTCTACACATTTTTTTTTTTTTTTAAAGATCAGGAATCCTTTTTTTTTCAGTGTATTTAAGACAAGGCGTTACCATACTTCTTCCTAAAATGACATATTTAAAAGTGCAACTTAAGTAATATTGAATTATTTATGCACTAATTTGCAAACATTTCTAACACAAAAGTTTTTTTTAACATATTAAAGACTTTAAAAAGCTTTTCAGAGCATTTTTTGAGAATCCTGTTGATCATATAAAATATAAAAGCTATATAATCTATCTTAAAAATATTTAATCCATTATATAATCTATAATAATTATATATGAACAAATCCCTTTGTAAAACCCGGCAGAATGCAAATACAGTTGGAATCAGAATTATTAGCCCCTCTGTTTTTTCCCCTAATTTCTGTTTACAGATTTTTTCAACACATTTCTAAACATAACAGTTTTAATAACTCATTTCTAATAACTGATTTATTTTATCTTTGCCAAGATGACAGTAAATATTATTTGACTAGACATTTTTCAAGACTTCTGTACAGCTTAAAGTGACATTTAAGGCTTAACTAGGTTAACTAGTTAACTATGCAGGTTAGGAAATTAGGAAAGTTATTGTATAACGATGGTTTGTTCTGTAGACTATCGAAAAAAAAATACAGCTTAAATAGGCTAATAATTTTGACCTTAAAATGTTTTTTTTTTAAATGTAAAACTGCTTTTATCTTAGCTGAAATAAAACAAATAAGACTTTCTCCAGAAGAAAAAAATATTATCAGACATACTGTGAAATTTTCCTTGCATTGTTAAACATCAATTGAGAAATATGTAAAAAAAAATAAAAATACATTCAAAGGGTGGATAATAATTCTGACTTCAACTGTATGTGTAAAATAGTAAAAATTTCACTGAAAATACAAACGAAAAACGTTAAAAATATACAGAATTTACTTGAAGTGTCTAAGGTAAATTGAAACATGACTAACCAATTTTAGTTAAGGTTAGTTAAAACAAAACTTGTGACTTATCCGAAATTGACTTTAATATTTTCAATCAGCTTAATATAATGTAAGTTGAAATGACTTGTAAATGTAATTCAACTCAATTAAAAAATTTAAAACAGCAACAATTATTTTTTTAAATATACGACTTACGACTTAATATTTAATATACATTTAATATATGACTTGCAGATTTACTGTAGGAAATCTAATTAAAGTCCTAACAAATTGTAGCTTATATTCAATTAACACTATTGACCTAGCTGTGGAAAAACAAAAACAAAACATAAACCTATTTAAACTATGCACAAAAAAGGCTTAAATTAACAAATGTAATCAAAACACGAGATGTAACACTTTACATTCAAATCCCTTTCAGACAACTGAATTCCTCTGTTCTGGTTTTTGGCTAAACTATGGAGACATCTCATTGCAGAAGCATTTTTTTGGCAGCATAATGATGACTTCTGCCTCCCATCCTTCCAAATGTGGAGCATTAATGAAAGCGCTTGGCTCTTGTAAAAGCCGTTGGGCAGTAATGAGAGCTGGACCTGTGTTGGTGGCAGTGACGGAGAGAAAGTAATGCAGTCTCTGGGGGAGCTTGTTATCTCCACTTGCCCACTACTTAATGACAGAACTCCCATAATTATCCTTCGCACTTTGATTGGAGATTCTCTGCCATTACATTTAATAATATCAGCGGGGGGAAATGCGCATGTGTGGGCGCTTGTTTGGGATTTTTGCCGTCTACCTGTATCACTAGAGGAGGCCACAGCGCTCTGCTATCATTAGTCTTCATAAATAGCTGCCAGACAACAGGCCCTATTAGGAACTGGTGTGACACTGTGTTTATATACCAGAAAATATACTAAACATGACAAATGAGAGGAATTGCAGGTCAAGGCAATAGGATACCTGAATGTTTGACACAGAAATATAATCAACAACAACAACAAGTTAAATTTGATGCATTGGATTTAGTTTGGGTATTAGGTTTACATTCTCCTGGCAGAATCTGCTAGATGTTTATTCATTGTATTTTGCACAACAGCACGGGTAATAGAAAATTGTATTTGTGATCACTTTATATGGCCTCCTGTGAATTTTGTATTCTTTTTGCAATAATTTTTCTACTACTTTTTAACATTTCCCAAATAATGCTTACCAGTATTTACTTTTAGACTTTTTTCTTCTTGAGAAAGTCTTATTTATTTTAGTTTGGTTGGAATAAAAGCATTAAAAACGGGCGACACTGTTACACACTATGAAATATTTATTAAGCATTAGCAAGTAGTTAAATCATTATCTGTTAAGCATTAACTCTACATTAATAGATGATATTTAGCAGCTTATTAATGCAGCCACAAATGTTGTTTTCTTGACTTATAAGCACATTTGTATTGTGTCTAATTATATTTTTATACCTTGTTTAATTTTGTTTAATTTAAATTAATGCATTATTTACAAACTAGTTATTTAAGAACAGCTGGTGCTATCAGAGAATAAGAAAGCATAAATAAATGATTAATAAACAATTCAAATTAATATTCATATATCCTATTATTCAGGCATAATAGTTAATTTGTACATTAATAAATGCTTTATTAACTCAAATTCATCCAGTTTTGTGACCTAATCTAGGGTGAGGACTAGTTATGCTTTATTAATCCCTTATGAATGACAATTAAAGGCTCAGTTATATTCTAAACAGGAAAAAATAAAGAAAATAAACAGCTTTATTATTTTCTATTTATTTTAAGATACACAAATGAAACGAAAAATAAATCTTTGCAATCTTAACTAAAATAAAATTACTGTGCAGTTTAAACTTTGCTAAATAACATTGTAATGTTGTATTAAAATATATTGTGACAATCCTGTTATTTGGCAATATTTAAAGTTTACAGTAATTTTATTTTAATAAGACAACATTGCAAACATTTATTGTTTATTTGATACTAACCTTTTAATTGTCATTCATAAGGGATTTAGAAAGCATAAACAGTTCTCACTTTAGATTAGGTCACAAAACTGGATGAAGTTGAGTTAGTAAAGTGTTTATTAACATACATAGTAACCATTACTATATACCTGAATAATAAAATAAAATAAAAAAGCTGATTTTATTAGTTTATTAATCATTTATCAACTCATTCTGAATGATTCTATAAAGGCCACCAACTACTCTTAACCCCTTTAACTACCCCACCAAGAAAACAATGTTGGATTTCTTAACTCCTAATGTCACTAGTTAACACACTCAATGCATTTTTAAACAGTACTGGGCCAAGTGTAGGACCAATTTATTTAAACAAAAAATCTTCCAAATAAAACATGTTTGAACACTAGATCACCTTTTTTTTTTGAAGTATGTCAAATTCTCATTATACATGGTTTCTTTTTCTTTCTTTCTTTCTTTCTTTCTTTCTTTCTTTCTTTCTTTCTTTCTTTCTTTCTTTCTTTCTTTCTTTCTTTCTTTCTTTCTTTCTTTCTTTCTTTCTTTCTTTCTTTCTTTCTTTCTTTCTTTCTTTCTTTCTTTCTTTCTACAATAAAACCAAGTGTGTAACCAAGTCAAGTGTAGTAGAGCAACATGCTATGTTTGTTTGGTTTGATTTTTTTTTTGTAAACCAACAATGCTGTGCGTGAAAACCATTATTTAAAACAGCCATTCTTTATATGACTTTAACAGTCATTATTTAAAACAGTAAAACATGGTCAACCGTTTGGTAGAGCGGCAGTCAACAGGTTAAATACAAATGGTTTGTAAATAATGCAATATTGTACTTAGTAATGAAGAATTACTACATAATAAAGCATGAAAATACAATTATTAAGCACAGTATAAATGTTCTTGTAAGTCAAGAATACATAGTTTGTAGCTGTAGTTATAAACTGCTCACTAACGTCTATTAATGTAAAGTTAATGCTTAAGAGATAATGAATTAACTATTTGCTAAAGCTTAATAGATGTAGTTCATAGTGTGTAGTTATTATAAAGTGTTACCAAAAACTATTTGTGTCAAATAAAACTAGATTTTTCCCCCTCGATTGGTTACAAAACAAAACCACTCATGTTCAACGACTTGCCCAATTTACCTAACTTGTCTAGTTAACCAAAAATAACTTAGCTAAGCATTTTTATTAAAACGAAAAATGTATCTAAATTTGGACTTGTGTGAAACTTGTCTCTGTCAGATATGATGACATTAATTTTAAGAAAAGTTCAGAATTGTGAGATATCATCTAAAATAAATAAATAAAAGAAATGCATACAAAACATCAGTTTAATAATTTAAAAAAAAATAAATGAATCCATTTTTTCCTAGCAAAAACACACTAAATTGAAATGCCAATAAATATAGCAATATAAACAACCAAAAGAAAACCCAAACAAAACAACTTAAATAAATAAAGTTACACTGCTAATAATGTTTTTTTTTTACTAGGAGTTATTAGCATGATTCTAGTCCAAATATCTAAATAAGCTTAAATCAAGAAACATTTCCTAGACAAGTACAAAAAATTGTCTTGTTTTCAGAAATAATAAGTCAAAATAAGTGGGTTTCTCCTTAAAATAAGCTAAATAATCTGTCAAAGGGGTATGTAAATTGATCTTAGTTCAAAGTGAAACTATTTTGCTTGTTTTAAGAAGAAACTCACTTATTTTTAAATGATTATTACTGAAAACAAGACAATATGTCTTGCTTGTCTAGGAAATGCTTTGCAATTTAGGAATGTTTAGATATTTGCACTAGAAAGAAGACAAAAACTATAGGACAAGCATTTTTTTTTTTGCTGTGTACTTTACAAATATTCATCTCCTCCTGGACAGCAGTATAACAGATTCTGCAATGGCATATGTAAACCTGTAAACATCAACTTTCTTTGTAAACGTTAGTTATGATCTCACATGCTGATACATCTCTTTGTAGTAATCTGTAATTAAGCTTCATTTACGTTAAAGGCATTTTTGAAAATTTCAGACCATCAGGCAGTTAGTTTGCGCATGCATGAAAACAGAGGCTCGTGGCTCCTGATGAATTGAAGCTTGATTAAAGTTTGCAATCAAATGCTGCAATTTAAAGGAAGACAAGTTAATTTAAGACAAGCGGTGCAAGAGGGATGGCAGTTAAACAAGTTATTGGAGATTCCAGTCATCATTTCCAGTTAGCTGAAACATGTCCAGATGCTAAGAAGACAAAGAGGGAAAGATTAGGGTTACAGAGTGAAACATGCTCTACCATGCAGAAGGCGGATTAGACTTAAGGGTCATGGATTATTGTGCCACTTCATCATGACTAATAATAGCCACTATCATGACATACTGTATTTCAGGAAGAGATACTACAGGAAAAAAAAATTACAGAGACAGCATCTTATCTTAAACCAAGTGTTTGGTTAAAAATGTGATAAAAGAAAGAGTAGAAGTGTTTTCTTTAAGGTGAAGCTGTTTCTCTTTTGCATATTTGGAACAGCAGACCGGGACAGTGAGCAGGATTCATCCATGAGACAAAGATGTAGAATTAGGACATGCATGAGAGGCTTACAGACGGAGACGAGAGACAGAGAACAGAAGTGTGTGAAAAATGTGTTCATGCAATGGCATAACATCGGTGATTCTACTTTTGGTAGAAAAAAATCAAGCATACTGTATATCTATTATATAAAGCACATTCATGATGTTTGATTTTTTTTTTGTACGAGAACAATTAAAGATGAGCTTCCTTTTTGTTGAATGAGCTTCTGAGTTGTTTTTTAAGCCCAAAGTATACTTTATCTTTTATATAAGGTATGCCTACAGCACAGGTGACGCAAATGTCATCATCAGCACAGCTTGCATGTATTGTACGCTTGCAGTACAATTATTTCAGACATGCAATTATTTTCAAATAAATGTCAATGGGGCAGTACCTTTTCAAAAGGTATACTTTTGTACATAAATGGTCCATAATGGTGCCTTAAAGGTACATATTATTATATAAAGGTGTGCCTTTGTATCATGAAAAGTGCAAAAGTGTACCTTTTGAAAAGCTACCACCCCAGTGACAGCTTTTGTACATATATTGCTGAGAATTTATCTCGCATGTGCTTTGATTTTTTTACTTATTTATTTTGTTTTATATTTTATTTCGTATTTGTCCACAGGGAGACAACATTGGACCATAAAAAGAATGAAAAGTAACAGAGCAAACACAAAAACAACATACTACTGATAACTGAAAAAAGGCACTATTCATGTGTTAGGCTGCATTTACACTGCAGATCTTGATGGTCAATTCCAATTTTGTGACTGTTTCTGATTTTTTTTGATGACCTGCTTACATCATCTTTTAAAAGTGACTCATATCCGGTTTTCTGCATTTACACAGCATACGGTAAAGGCACAATGACCAGGTAAAAACAAAAGTGGGTGCTGACTGACAGTTGATAATGAAGGCGCACTCTTTTTTCAATTAACATATGTAATGTGTTAGGTTTTACTATAGTTTATGACAGAAAAAACTTTTCATTTTTGCCATCTTCTTTTAATCTAGGCCTTTTTAAGCCAGTAGGCATCTTAATGTAATGTCCATGGTGTTCTTTATGCATTTGATGTATGAAACTATATTATTTTATAATGGTTACATGGCGGATGTTGCGCTCTCTCTCTCTCTCTCTCTCTCTCTCTCTCTCTCTCTCTCTCTCTCTCTCTCTCTCTCTCCCTCTCTCTCTCTGTCTTTATTAAATGCTTAAAACATGCTATATGGCAATATAAAAGCTTTTTTAGTCCTTGTGTATGAGATTTAAGGTTTGCTGAAGTCTGTTCCGAAAAAAAGTGTCACAGTTGTCATTCTATAAGGTTTTAATGATGCGCGACTCACATTGACAGGTGTAAATCAGATCTACCTGCTTACAATGCTGACACGAGGGCACAGATCCGATTCATATCAGATAAATTTCCACTTATGAACAAGGCCTGAATCTGATTTGAGTAAATCATAATCCATGTGATTTTTTTGTTTTGCTTACACATACATGGGCCATTTCTGATCTGGGCCACATGAGAGAAAAAAACATCAGAATTGAGTAACTCGAAGCATGCAGTGTAAATGCAGCTTTAGAGAATTAAAAGATATCTGTAACTCTTTTTTATTTTGCAGGATTATAAAATCCTATCCTGTTTATTGGTTAACCCTTTCACACATAAGTTTTACCGTAGATACTCCCACTGACCCTCCATGTGTGAGCTTTTGAATGTGACCTTAATTTAACTTTAAATTTTTCATGACGATGAAACAATTATGAAATGCATTTGAAAGTGCAAAGTGCATTTGAAACTATGAAACTATGTATATCTAGCTAGTTTGAATAAATCACCTTTTAGTTTGACACATTGACAGTACAGAATAACTCTTTTGGATCATTAGAATCATTTGTTTCATGTGTCAGAACAGAAAAGAGGCTCTTGGGATCACGTATACTATAAATGGTACATCCTTTTGATTTACAAAGGTTTTTATTGATGCTCTAGGACAAAGGTGCCCAAACTTTTTCTAATAAAGGGCCAAAAGCCAAACTTGATTGAGGACTGTGGGTCGAAGTTGAATATACTAAACTGTATTACCATAAATTTGCCATGTGTGATTTCCTAATTTATTAGCTAATATTTAAATATAACTAGACAATCTTGCTTTAAAACAAATTAATGAAGCAGTATCATTTTAAATGTTTTATAATTAACTTATTATAGTAAAAATGTAAAAAATCCTATTTATAACACAATAGAGATCAATGTTGAATACACTAATCGAGCTGCTCCAGCCCTTGCTTTTACCTTGATTTGCTTGCTGATGTCTTGTGCACTGTTCTCTATCTGTCAAGTGGCAGTATTTACATTGTAAAACTGATTTATTTACAACATTTATTTTTAGTTGGCTTTTTTATAGCTCCTCAATTAAACAAAGAAACAAATGGTTATGTTAAAATGACAATCTCTGTCAAAGGCTTTCACCGCAACCAACTACCTATCATTCTCCATCTCTTTTCAGATAGGATGGTCGGGGTTGGGCCAAACCATAGGTTACTATGCAGTGCCCTTCTTTGGGCACCTCTGCTCTAGGAAGTCAGAACAGCTATTAAAGTATCATTATAAAGTATTTGTACATAGATGATGTAAATAAAAATTTAATAATTACCTATATATATATATATATATATATATATATATATATATATATATATATATATATATATATATATATATATATATATATTTTTTTTTTTTTCATTTACTTACCTTTTTTTTAACCTGTGCCTTTACTTTAAAGTGTAAACAATGGACTCAATGAATTAATCTTTCTAGTGCATGTGTAATTTTACCCACTGCATTATATTTAAAAACAAAGCATACTCTGGGCTTGAAGTAACTCTGTAAGATATTAAGTTTAATGAAATAACGAGATTTTCTCAAAAAATTGCATCATTCATTAAAAAAAATCAAGAGTTGAAGTGATAAAGTAAGAATAATTTGATAAGAGTAAAATATACATTGAAAAATCAACACGTTCAGCATGCAGAGCACTCTGCAGCATGTGTAGGAGACTAAGCTTTGGGATTGCAGTGTCTGATGGTTTTCAAAAAGCCAAATAAAGTAGGTGGTGAGAGATTTCTGAAGGATGAATGACTCAGGAATGAAATGGCTCATAAATCCTGCTGGTACTGGGTGGGCGTTTCTTCTGTCTTCCCCTCATTAACTTGTCTGTTCTCACTGTTAATGCGAACAATGGGCAAAAAAAAAAGAAGCAAAAAAATAAACAAAACAAAAACATAAATCAACAAAAAATTACCTTCTGTTCACCAGCGAAGACGACATCATCAGCACCATGCAAGAGTCATATGACAAAGTCACATGATACGCACGTACATGAGTGGTGGAAAGGAAAGTGGAAGGGGGGGAGGGGTCACATGGAAAATACAAAACATTGAAAAAAATTATACAAACATGGAACGTGTTAAGACCAAAAAGTACAAACAGAAACACAAACAACAAAAAGAAAACATAAATTATAAACATAAATACTTCTCTGTCACATTAGATACAGCGTGTATACTGTAGGTCCATAAAGCAATTTCCAGACAGTCGATTTCTGAAATTCCAATACAAATCAAAGTACTTAAGAAACAACCTGATATCATCTCAGGCCATTTTAAATTATTCAGGGTAAGAATAGGGTCCAAATTGCTTTATGAATCCACTTCACCAGGAGCAGTATTTCCTCTGACTGCGAGCGGTACTTTTGACAAGAGGATTCAAATGCAGCTCTCTTGCAGTGTACATTGAATTATAAATGCTTGTGCAGATTGAAAGGAATCAGTGGTATTGTAAAACCCAGCTGAAACTGAAGCAGGCCAGCCAAAGGCAGAGGAAACGCATTTATGTGGACGGGATACAGACAGAAATCGGCATCATCTACCAGACATGAAGCCGGATGCTACAGAATGATATGAATTGTCCGAACTACTGTGTGAAGAGTTTCAGACAATACAACACAAAAATAAAAACGTTGATCTAGGATTATTCATTCAAACTGATTCTAGATCAGCACAGTGGTGTACATATGTAGGGCTCAAGTGAGATAAGTGGAGTAGAATAGTGAAAAGCAGCACCTTCCACCCAAAACTAAATGTCTACAGTCTATACTAGATCAAATGCTGGATTGGTAGACCTTCAGGCACACTCTATAAATAAATATTAGTAGAAGTCTCCATAAGAGCAGCTGGTTTTCATTTGTATATAAAAAATACACTTAAACCATGCTTTTTTATTTCATTTTATAAAATAAAAACTCTCTTCAACACAATGCATGTAGTTATATATACATATTTTGCCTTATTTAGTTTGACCTTTTGTTGCATGAAACATTCTAGATTAAAATCATGCACATCCTAGATTAAAATTATTAATATACTACGAATAAAATACCAATATAAAAGACTGAAACAAAATCTATATTTTCCTTATAAAATATCACTTAATTTTATTTAAACAATACACAAAAAGCAAGCTTTAATGTTGCTAACATGCTTTTAGTATTTTGAAACAAATTAGCATACTGTGAGCATCTATATGAATTATTTTATATGATTCTAAAATGAATTAATTAACAACCAGTTTCTAGCATGCATTAGCCTGATGTTAGTGTTCAGTATCTTGAATAAGCATGTATTAAGCATAAATTAACAGACTAATTCATACTTGATACATGCTCACAATGTCTTTGCATGTTTTCAGCATAAATTAGCAATTAAAATGTTTCTAACAGAAATTAGAGATATTGCTAAACTTAGTTAGCTTGCTACTAGCATAATTGTGGTAGGAATAGTAAATCCTCCCAGGACAAATGTCATTCAACCACACTAGATCAGACTAAAGCCAATTTAAAGATGCTAGACTTTTGTGCTGCATACAGGTGTAGTAACAAGCAAACAAAAAAACAAAGCATAAAGGCAGAAGTAAGATTTATTTTTTTTACGATTTTGTATGTTACAAACTTTTGTGCAAAAGTAAAAATTATTGATGATAGTACAGTCACTTACTGCACTGACCATAAGGATTTTTGAACAAAATTAGCAAACAATGTAAATGAAATACAATAACAAGATGCTGCGGTGTCAGAAATTTGTATTATTGCCAGCTAGTTTTTGAAGTAACTAATAAGGGTAACTGATAACATAACAGTGCCTGTGCCTTAATGTGCATACACCATAAATTATTGAATATTAAAAATTTTATATACTTTTTACATCAGAAAGGTGGATATTCACATTGAGATACAGGGATATCGATGGTTCAAACACCGGTTATGATGGAGATTCATTCATAAACGTATTGCTCCCTCCCTTAGAATTAGAAGTGAAAGCAGGAGAGGGTGTGTGTTTCAGGACACGGATTAGATCAAATTTAACAGGGAGGGAGATAATACATTTTCATGCACACAAACACATGCTCTTGGTTGGTAATGCCTGTGTGGTCACTTATCTATCAATGTAGAAAAGGGATGTAAAATTATAATTTTTGTAATTAGAAAAATATATATTTGCAAACTGACCACCAAGAAAACTCTCGGTCATAATTATATGTATATATGTTTGTACATCTATGGCCAGTCCTCCACTGCACCTTGGTTCCACATTCATTTAAAAGGAGCACGTGTACTAAAATGGCGGCTCTATAAACACATTCCTTCCGATAGATACCAACAGCGTAGGCGGCATCTAATGTAAATATCGATGGAAATTTACTTAATGAATTAGCATGCTAGCATTAATTTGCATGCTGCTAGCAAGAATTAATTTCACTGGCACGTTTTTTGAATGAATCAGCATGACCCTAGCAAATGTAAAGTATGCTGCATGTTTTAGGTTAGTTTCAAATTCTAACATGTCTGGAGAGTGTAAGAATTGAAATATTACAAATATTTTTGATGTCTTTGAAAATTCAAAACATGAGCTGAAAACAGGGCCAATTGACTCCACAACCTAGCAGGTGGGAATGCGGGAAAAACCAGTTCCTGCTGCATTTGCATCTGAGTCTGCTGAAACTCGGCTTCGTCCACCCCATCTCACACATATGGTCATTTCAATGTTTGAATGTTCTAGATTAACCAAACTGACTTTAACTATCATGCTTGATATCATTTGAAATGTCTCAGTGCGACTGGTACAATGGTCTCATTTTCTCAGAAATAGACAAAATCAAAACAATAAATATATAACTTCAGGCATCTTTTGAACCACTGTGAAGGGTGTGACTTTTCCACAGGCAGCACTAAATGGGAATGCTTTTGTTATGCACACACCCCCTTCCTTGAGGGAATTCTTGGATTATTTAAGGTAAGGTTTGAAAAAGGCTCAGGGCGATTCTGCCTAACCAGATCTGCCCATAACATGGAGCCTGCTCCATGTTATGTAAAATTTAAAGTCAGGTATGCATCTTTCATCTTGGATTTATCTTTGATAATTTGATGTTTTGTATTGATCATTTTTGAATTGACTGATTGAATTGGCATAATACATTTACCTGACTAATAAATTATAATGTTTGACCATATTTTGCTCACTCTGTAATTATTAATTCAAGTAGATTACGCTGTATCCTTGTTTCCGCACGTCTTGCGTCAGGTCAGTAGACGGACTAAAATCCAGTTGAGATGGAGCATTGGGCACACTAATTGTGTTTTAGGGATCCGACTGACTCTTGATATTGATTCAAGTGTACTTAGGTGGAAAGGGCGTTAACTTCCGTCTAGGTCAACAAGTTGTTGCACGACTAACCTAGATTGGGTACCCGACCTTTGTTTGAAGAAGATTATTCTAAATTAAGTTCATATGTGAAACCATGGGCTTGGTGAAAACCAAAGTTACTGTAGAGTCCAGTAGTCGGGTACATTTATATTAATGCCCTAACCTCTAATTAGAAATGATGATTGTCTTAACTCAAGGGTGTACACCTAAGCGGGACTAACCAAAAGTACTTTAGAACGAGCGTGCTGGTAGCGGCCATCTAAAGTATTAGTCAATTACCTCTGTTTAATATTCAAGACTGACCGGAGTGCGACCGTGAGGGACGCCTTCGGCCGAGGCGATTTCTCTAAGCGACATGAGCACCCGAATGAACGGATGTAATAGTTACTAGTGAAGACAAAAGGTTCAAACATTTATCTAAATTATATATTGATATAATCTTCTTAATGCTTTATGATTGGAGTCAGATAAAACTAAAGATAAATATATTAATATTCTAAACCACCTCATACTAAAATTGGAGTCAGATATGAGTTAAATTTAAGGTAAATCAACATTGTGCACTGGAAAGACCGAACAGGCATTAAACCTTCATCCACCAGTGGACACCGGCATTGGGCCTACTGGGTGGACCCTACAAGAGAATGGATTAGTACGTTGAGAGGATGATTTTAGCAGTAATTAACTTGCTACTAGCACATTTAAAGTATGTAGCATGTCTATGCTAATCACCAGGCTTTACTAGTGACAGCTTCAGTGTTCAGTATATAAGAGTACACCCCTCACAAATCTCTCATTTAGATGAATATTTTCTATAGGAAGCTTCACAATATTATATCCATACATATACATTGAATTAGTCAGTACTGAAGCCACATCTGTAGCTAATCTAACAAAATAACTTATGAAAGCGGTCCAAAACTAGTACACCCAAATATATGTTATAGAAAAATATTAAATTCAAAATTAAAAAAAGAAAAAAAAAATCAGGAGAAACAACATTTTTTAAAAAATTGTTGAAATGTTGTAGTTTGTAATTTTCTTTTCCAATATTTCACAGGAATTTAAATGTATTATCTTTATGTTTCTGAAGATGTTGAGGGACCTAAATATTATTTTATTAAATATTTCTGTTTAATAAATGTTTTATTTAAATGCACCAAAATATATGACACATATTCACTGAAAAATGGGATGTACTCAATTACATAGCTTAACTTAGCATAATTAACTGTATAGCTGAATAGAGAGATGAAGATAGAAGTTGTGAGCTCCATGACATTCTAAGTCATTGTATGTGTTTTGGAAACATATATAGAATAAAACACCAGTTTATCATGATGGACATGAGATAAATTTGGCGGTTGTCGAAAGTTTTAGGAGGAGACATGTTCAAAAATGTTCTGCATACATAAAAAAATAGATTAATAAACTATCTAATACTTGGAAATATTTTGTCCATATTTTGACAAATTCTAGTGTTTAAGTTTGCAATCTGAGACAGATGACTGTACCAAATAAAGAGAACAAATCAACATATTACACA